GGGGCATTCCTATTGCCCCTTCCCTTCTTAGCTGTACAACACGGGAGTAAATGCCAGATACACACATAAAATACCCAGTGAATGTGTCCAAGACCCCGAGTTTGATTTTCTGTGCTCCACATGGCTTACAGGGTGGGCAGGCAGACTTCCAGTGAGCAATTCTCACCTGCCAAGCCCATCTGTTACCCTCTCCCAGGCAGCCAGGAAGTCACAAATTCGAACCCTGTGGGATCCCCGAAAGGTGCTATTGGGGTTGAGGAGTAAGGGGGAAGGTGTAGAGACCCTGGCCACCTCACACTGAGATGTGAGTGGGCCTCTTGTGAAAATCAGACCAGCTGAGACTTCCCCTTGACATCAAAGAGGTTGTGGAAAGACACACACACACACACACACACACACACACACACACACACGAAAACAAATGCCACAATATGAAACGGAACTAGAAACTGAACTCCAGGGACCCTCCCAAGACATCTTTAAAGACAAAGGGAAGATAGTAAACCATAGGCTAATAACTAATCTCAATCTCACCCGTAAGCAATGTCTTGGTGACTCTGGGCAGTAACTTTCAGAAGGAACTATACAGCCCTGCCTTCCAGGTTAGGCAAAGACACAGCCCTTCAGCCCATTTGCAGAGACCAAGAGTGAGGGGCCTCAGAGATGTCCTCATATGCCTAGGTTGCACCCTGTCTGCCGCTGGGAAATGCCCTCTTTTGAAGCAGATAAAAAAAAAAAAGTACCTCCTAGAAAACGATAGCGAAAGCAGAGTGAATGGAGAAGCAGGTGCCAAGGCACAGAAGTTCTTTTGTAGGACAGCAATGTCTAGTGTCTCCGTGGATTCCTCGTACACGCCGCTCCTAAGGGAATGTGCACTTCGCCAAAGAGTTTTCAGTGTTTAGTACAGAGGAGATGGCGAGACCTAGGCAAACGCCTAGAGAAGGAAATACAACCTGTGTGAAGTCATAAAAACGGACAGAGACGAAGATTGAGCCTTCCCATCTTCCCATTTTAACAACTGTAGGAGACAGGGACCGCCCCTCCTCTGCTCCACACCAAAGTAAAATACTTTCTGTAGCCACAGTTGCCAGTGGGGCCTGGGGACAGGGTTCGTCAGTAAAATGCTCTCCCCGCACAAGCAGGAGCACTAGGGTTCAGATCCCCACCATCGAAGGACAAGAGCTGGGCTCAGTAGCATGTGCCTGCGATCCTACTACTGGGGAGGCAGAGACAGGAAAGGTACCTGGAGCTCACTGGCCAAGTCAGTCTAGCCAATCAGTGAGTGCCGGGTTCGCATAGCAACCGTGTCCCATGAAATAAGTGGAGAATGACTGAGGAAGGCACCCAACACCGACTCCTGGCACCCACAGGCCTGCATGTGCACACACCCGAAATAAACAGTAAACTCGAGGCAGTAAGCATCCGTCCTGCTGGCGTAAGCATTTTATGTTCTATACGGTTAACACCTATTTAAATTGGGTGTAATGGCTCTTAATTGTTTTATTCTATGCACAGCAAAGCAGCCAATTGAATCTAATATTAGTCATTCATCAGATAAAACATTTTCAGAGAAGCAAACTGCTATATTTTGCCTTCAAAGAACAGCAAGCATTTTAAATACACTTCCCCAGAGCTGGGTACTACTAGGAAAACAGTTTAGAAATGCTACTTCAAGCAACCCCCTTCCTACAACAAGATGAATCGAAACAAATGCTTAGCCCTGTATTTCGAGTGCTTTTATTTTTTTCTTCAAATGAAGCCTCTTTCTGTCCACCTGTCAAACACAGTTGTGACCCCATCAACCTAAGAGGTGGCCTCTGGGGCTGTGAAATGCGCCACCCGGCACGGATGCCCTTGGCGCGGCTGGCCTGCAGTCCTCCTTAGGATTATCCAGCTTCTCTTGCAACAGGAGAGAGGCCATGGGCCCGCTGCCAAGAGCTCTTTCAACAGAAATTCCGAAAGAAGATCCTGCGAAGTGCCGAGAGCCCAGATTTCCAGCCGTTCACTTTCTAGATTCCGTTACATAGCAACCATGCATGCTCACACGGGCTACCCAAGTGAGTTAATATTTTGTTTAAACGACACGCTGCCTTAACCCTCTAGGAAAACCCGAGTCTGCTTCATCACAAGGCGCCAACCCAGTGGTCTCCCCAGCGCAAAAGTCCCCAGCAAAGAAGTGATGCACTCCCTTTATTCATTTCCAAAAGGGATTTAAAAAAAAAACCCAACTAAAAATGGACCTGAGAGTCTCTTGGTGGGGAGTGAGGATGTAAAAGGTGGCCTTTTCCTGTAATCGTTTGTGCTAATATTGTTAAAGGCATACTAGCACACTCTTGATGTGTACATGTGCACTTTAGCTAAAAGTGACTTACACAGTTGTATTTTGAAAGATCCTCATTTCGCTGAAAGCCTCGATGTGAGAATTGACAGCCCAACTGTACCAGGCATCCTTAGGGTCTGGTCCCGCTGAGCGGCTGCAGTGCAGGCGAGACATAAACACACGGGGGACTCTAACCTGGAAGACCAGGAGCCCAAGGGGTCCAGCTTCCCTGCGCCATCCTGGTGCCTTGTCAGGAAGGACAGGAGCGGAGGTGACCAGCCATACTTAAAAAATGAGCTTGCAAAAAGGCAAGGCTCCCCTTTAGCTAAAGGGGTGACTAGATCAGCTCTGCTGAGGGCTTCTAGAAAAACGGTGCCAGAGTCCCCCAGAAAAACAAAATGAGTGAAAGCAAAACCTCACAAAGACTAAATGACACATCACACACACACATTCACACATACACACACACACAGTACACACATATGCATGTGTGGACACATCTGTTCCAGGATTGAGGCGCTGTTACTATAGATAAGTCAGTGCCCAGTGGTCTTACACAGTAGTTTTGCATTTCTTCCGCCCGCCTCACCCACTTAGTCATACTAACTTGAATGCACATGTGACCCACAGATGTGTTCAGTTAGAAATCATGAGCATACATTCTGATTATCTGGTCACTAAGGGCTCATTGTCCAAGTTCTGAAAACCATCAGCGGTACCGACAGAAACCAGACCCTTCTCCTCTGTCCTATTACCTACCCATTGCCAGTCATGGTCAGGCAGGTGCACAGGTTCCCACGGGCACAGGGAGCTACTGGTGGTGTGTGTTCTTAAAGACATCGAGTGATTACCAAAGCCACTTCCATGACTGTAGCCCTGTACATCTTTGTAGGAAAAAGCAAAGCAGAACAAAACAGAAAAGAAAAAGGAAACACTCCCTGTTGTGCCTGTCCAACCATTCAGCCATCGTGACGCCAGCCTTAGCCTCTCACTTCCCAAGCGAAGGGTGCCAGCAAGGCACTCTGGATCCCTTCGCACACCCAGTCCACGGCGCAACCAGCACGCAGACGAAAAGTCACTTAACTTTTTCCCTGTCCAGGAACGAGAGGATGGTGGGAATGTCCCAGGATTATTTGATGTCCCTTCTTAGCAAAATGCCAGTTCTTGGGTAGTTCTGGAATGTTTGAACAGCCGCTGCTTACAGAAACCAAAAGCGTTATCCTGCAGTCTGCGTTTGCCTTCTCTCACCTATGGCTCTCTCTCACACGATGACATAACCAGGGATGGATGACAAGAACAACCGGATGCCAACCGTGAAAACCCCGTAGCAAACACCAGGGCCACACCACTTTCTCGCCATTACATCATGATCAAATTACTCGCCCGATTCCTAAAGACACCCAACAGGCGCCGGAAGTACCAAGTTAGGGTTTGACTTAGAATTCACAAAACTGCAAATCTTGAAGCTGTGAATCTCACAGGGCAAAGACATACCTTCCCGTGAAGGTAAGGCCAAAACAGACCGATGGAGCCATTGAAGGCATCCCCATAAAAACATTCTCTCTCAACACTCAGGAGGAGCTGTTGAGATAGCAGAACCAGAAAATCATTCTGAACCATTGAGCGTTGGTACCTTACAATCCAAATGACACATTTATACAGGTAACCCTCTTGGACCAGAGGGTTTTCTTTTCTTCCCTCCTCTCCACCCCTTTGAATTTTTAGCCATTTAGATTACAATCTGAATGGTTTAAATAAACAGCGGTATTGCTTCTTAAAGGATGATGGAGGGGAGCAGGGTAGGAGGGGAGAATGCAGGATCCTGCAAAGCTTGCTTCAGTTTTTGCTTCCCAACTCTCAGAAAGCACCATGCATGGCAGGACCACCTTAGATCACACCGTTAACCCTTACGAGGGGTTCAGAAGTGTCATGTCTCAATGTCAGCACTGGCCAGCTGTCTTTTCTTCCCCCTTCCTCTAAACTGCAGAGGGTCCTTCAAACAGGGGCTCCTAGCAACCCACCATTCAAGCCTTCATTCCTCCAGACAGCCATCAATCAACCTTTGAGGTCTGTGATTTCCCCCTGGGAAGCACTCTTCCCTGTATAGTTGCTGGAAATGTAAAACTCCCTGCAGACCCAAGCATCCATACAGGACTGCCCGCACCATCTCAAGCCTGGAGAAAATAAACTCCAGATGCAACCCAGTCAAGGGGCTTGGCGTCCATGGATAAAAGTGCCAGCAAGTCCACTCCCCCAGGGCAGCAGAGCCCAAAGATTCCCTAGGGGAGTCATTTAAGAGGCCTTTGGAAGTGGAGGGGTGTAGGGGACTGTGGGGTGAAGGCATGAAAAGTTTGCAGCGGAGCTGGGGTCTGTGTGCTCTCCAAAGGGCACTTTCCACTGACGCCTGAAAAGGACCAGGCAGCGGCGCCTAGTTCGAGCCGGCAGGGGCCGGTGTGACCGTGTGACCCCCATGCACACTGCACCCGAGTTGGCGTTAATGACAACCGTGTTGCAACTCCCAAGCTGGGGAGCATCGGGTGGACATGGTCAGGCGAAAAGGGTTATGAGCCACAAGGCAAAGCCATCTCGCTGTGAGAGTGGCGTATACCGCGGGCCCTGCTACCACTGGGACCGGTGAGCACGCTCTGGGTCCCCGCCCCGGGCGCCCGGCGCTTCCTACCTTGCGCGCTGTGCTGATGGTTCTCCATGGTCGTCGCCGCCGAGTCAGCCACCGTCACCGCTGCTGCCGAGGCGCTGGTCGCAGCTCCCGGGCCCGAGCCGGAGCCACCGCCTCCACCGCTCAATTCCGCCAGTCTCCGGTTGGTGGCCGTGAGCTCGGCTCTCAGGTTGGTCACCTCCTGGCTGGCCGACTGGACCGCCCCATCGATGCGGAGCGCGAGCTGCTTATTGTCTTCCATCATGCTCAGGATTTTGGCCTGGGGGCGAGAGAGGTGACAAAGAGCTGCATGATGTGCGTTGGGGGCGCGTGGCCGGCCGTGGCCCCGGCTCTACCTGTTGGGTCACCCTAGCGGCCCGGGTTTCCCCGCGCCCCGACCCCCGGGCACCGGCAAGCGCCGGCTCCTCCGGCGCAGGAATGACAGCGGCGCCTCCAGCCCGAGCCGCGGCGGTGGCGAGGCGGCGGGGGGAGGAGGAGGAGAAAGAGGAGGAGGAAGAGAGGAGGAGGAGCAGCCGCGAACGGCGAGACCCCGGCAGGCAGGCGGGCGGGCGGGCGGGCGAGCTGCGAGCAGAGGACACCGTGCGCCGCCCGGGCCAGGCGCTCTCCGAGTGGAGCCTACCATTCGCGGCTCGCTCGGGAGGGGGCCCTGTTGGGGACCTTGGGGACCTCCTCGGCCTCGTGAGCTCCCCACCTCCGGGACACACCCCCGGAGAGTGGGGGAGGAGGGCGGCGCCCGTGTGAGGTCGGAGGTGGCACCCCCAACGGAAGGGTTAGGGGTGCGTCCGGGGCCCCGGCTGTCCCGCTGTCCCCTCCCTGCGGCGGTGGGCAGCCCCGCCCCGGCCAACTACTGCCCGGCTCCGGGCTGGGGTCGCCGCGGAGGAGGCGATGGGAGAGGGTTGCTTGCATAGGGGGCCTCTTGGAGGGGAGCGTGGGATGGTGGGCCGAGGGAGGGGGCTGCTGGAGTGAGCTCAGGAGTGGAGTTCTTGCTTTGCCAGTTGCAGAGATGAAATGCCCAGAGGGGAGGAAAGCTGGTGGACAGTGAGCCTGCCACCTTCCACCCCCACCTCAGTGCCTGACCTGCGCTGTCCTTCCCTACCCCGGGCCATTGGTGCTGCGGCCTGCCCGCAACCCGGAGATCGAGAATGTGTGCACCCCCTAGATGGAGGGTTAGCTTGTACCTGGTCCTAAGCTGCTTGGCTGGCCTGAACGTTAGTGGGAGTAAGGAACTGAGGCCAGAGAAGGGTTGGGAGGTGTGGCGGGGCTTTCTTTTTCTCTCCTTCTTCCCGAGGTAGGAATGTTGAACCGGGCTACCTCGGTTTACCTACTCCCCGTTCTGAGAAGAATTGAGGTAACCTTAGCTTGCATAAGCCCTTCCTGGCTCCTTTCTCTCCCAGAGCACACACAGGCTTTGCATTTTTCAGTGGGGCCCTGGATTCCAGCCACCAGACCTTGTTACCATAGCAAGCTTCATTCCATGCAAATAGGAGGTTTTCAAAGAGCCAAGTGTAACCCCGCCAACAGTGTGCCACCATTCCAGGCCAGTCAACCTGGGGATGGGGGCTGAGAGCAAACTGCAGAAGCCAAAGGAATGCTCTAAAGGAAACTCACCCTCCAGGTTCAAGAGTTTTTCTTGAGAACCAAGTAGAAGATGGGGCATTTGTGTGTGGTTGACTCTGTAGGGGAAAGAGTACTCCTGTTTTAGGAAGAAACTGAGGCTCTGGGCAGTGTTTTGCAATTACCCATCAATCCACAGAAACCAGATGGTGAGAGGTTGAGGGTAAGTAATCCTAAAATGCCAGTTAATCCCATGTGCTTTCAGTAAACTTTTTTTTTTTTGAGACATGGTCTCTCCAACTCACTATATAGTGGGAAATGACCCTGAACTTTTGATACTCCTGTCTCTACTACTGAATTGCTGGCATTACAGGTCAATACTGAGCTTAATAGGCATGCTACATCACACCTAGATTATTCGGTGTTGGGATCAAACTCGGGGCATGGGGCATGCTATAGAAACACTACCGACCGAGTTACAGCCCCATTGGATTCTTTTATGTAGGACCATAAAGGTATTTGGTTGCCCTGCCCTTTCCCTATGGACAAGCTTTTGCAAGAGGAGAGGACATTCTTAGATGGCAGAGTGCAGGCCCCAGGGCATAGTTTGCTCCCGTGAAAATTCAGGAGAGGTGGATCTAGGCAGCCAGAGGGCAGACAGGTGGCCGAGAGAGCAGAGCCCGAGGAGGACCTGCTTACTGAGTTATTTTAGGACTGTTTGTAGGGTATGCTGAATGGTGAAGGTGTCTCGGAGCTAGACAGTGGCTGTGTTTGCCCAGCGTTGGAAGTAGACTAAACGTCATCACGTTGTTTGCAGTGGTGCAGTGGATATCACTGTCTATGAATGCTGAGGGCATAATAAAAGGCATGGATGGGTGGTGGTTGGGGTGCCCTAGGAGTAAACTCAACCAGACCACAAGAGAGGCTGTACACAGGCGTGTGTGTGTGCGCGCGCGTGCGCGTGTGTGCGCATGTGTGTGTGTCTGCACATACCCCTTACGACACTCACCAGAAGGGCAGGGATGTGTCTCATTGCATGTTCCCCCAGCTTTACTGTGAACTTGTGGGCTGGAGAGGAAGGTGGCTGGGCCTTTTCCTGTTTCTCTTCCCGTTCTTGTCACCTAGCCTGTAGCTGGTGCTCCATCCTCCACTGTGTCTGAGCGTGTTTGCGCAGTAAACAAACTGAGAAAGTGTTACTCATTTTCCCTCCATGGAGAGACTGTCCCACACACTGGCATCTCCACATCAAATCACAGCAAAACAAACATCTCGAGAGGGAGAGAGAGAGAAGCAAGGACATATTTTTGGACTTCTCTTTTCCTCTCTTTTATGTGTGTGTGTGTGTGTGTGTTATATGTGCATGGAAATGTTTACACACCCACTAGTGTGCACATGTATGTGGAGGCCAAGGTCAATGTTCATGTCTTCCTCTCTCACTCTACATGTTATTAATTAATTAATTAATTTATTTATTGAGACAGGGCCTACTTTGACTTCCTGAACTCCAGCCTAGTGCACTGCTCCTCCCTGGGTGACCTCAAGGAACAAACAAAATAGCTTCAGAAGCAGTGTCTTCTTATGCAGCTCGGAGAGAGGAATCTTCTAGCAAGAACTGACGCTCAGTTGCTGGGGAGCCGGTCAAGGTGTTGAAGTACTTGTGTAAGCAAGAGGATCAGAGTTCAGAGTTTGGGGCCCCAGAATTCTTGCACGCGTCATGTGAGTGTGCCAGCCTGCCTGTAATTCCAGCCTCAGGAACCAGAAGACAGGGCATTCCCCAGAGCAGGCTGGGTAGTGAGACTAGTCTTATCAATGAACCCTGAGTTGGAATGAGAGACCTCAGTGAATAAGGTGGAAGAGCCATGGAGGATGATTCTTAACATCGACTTTGGGCTTCCACACGTATGTGCATGCACACCTGCACATCCACATGCAAACATGCATGCACACAGGCATGCATACCATAATATACAGATGAAGAGAGGAGGGGGGAGAGAGAGAGAATGAGAGAGAGAGAGAGAGAGAGAGAGAGAGAGAGAGAGAGAGAGAATAGCGAGGCTCACTGCACATCCACAGCAGACAACTCATCTTTCCCCAGAAACAGATGGGCCTTGTCACTTAGCCCCAGACTGGATCCTCTAAAGGGGAAACTGTGAATAACGTCCTGGGTCCCCACCTATGTGGCTGCCTTCCTCCATGGTGTGATGCTGCTGCTTGGGTAGCAGAAGGTACGAGGCCTTGTGTCCTCTAGCTTCCTCCTTGTCTGCAGACAAATGGGGGCTAGATGCAGAAATGAGCTCCTGTAGACGCCGATGAAGGAGCCAGGAGCAGTTAATGCCATGCTCGAGAGCGTGATGCATCCTCATACTGTATCATAGGGCACATTCTAAACCACAGGTGAGGCCACAGCCTAGCACAGTCAGGCCCCTGGCTCCTCTTCCCACAGCCCTCAATTCTTCCCACCTCGGAGCAGAGCCTTCCTCTCTTTTTGCTGTTCTCCTACCTAGAATATTCTTCCCTGACTCTCTGTCCCCAATTCCTTATCATCTCTCAGATTGAACATTCCACTCTGACATTTTGTGGCACAGGTCACCGCAGATTGTCACTTGGTTTATTTACTTGGTAAACTTGAGCGACCGTGTTCTCGGATGGATTGAGAGGTAAGTCGCCATCCGTGTAGCTCGCTTGGGTAGAGGTCTTTCTGTTTCTCCACCCGCGGCCCCAGGCAGCCCCAGTTTTTCTGTTTTGTGTTGGCATTCCCAGGAATAAATATCTCTTTGGTGACATAATTGGATTACTTAGATTGCAACAGAATCCCCCTTTAAAACTCCCCCTCTCTCACCATGTATACCCACCCTGCTGGAGTGCAGGCCTCAAGGGGTGGCTCGGGGGAGGGGAACTCTCCTCAGTTCTGATTTTGTTGCCTGGATCACCATCGACGCTTCTCTACAGAGTCTGCGGATAGTGGAGCAAATTCATGTCCCTTGTCCTCACACCTCCACATCCACAAATAGTCTCGTTGCCCTCATTAAAACCCTCCGAATATTCAGCCGTCCCTAGGAAACCCAGGCACATCTTCCTTCCGCTAAAGCTATTCCCGGTTCTCACAGATTCTTGCTACGATCTTGCTGGGTGGGGAGGGGCCTGGATTGAGCATTTGATGCTCAATTTGATGCTCAACTCCAGGGCTTCCTGGAAGGCTTTCCTTGAGGCTGGTACCCCACCGGCAGGTCCTTCCACACATCTTAATTGAGTGGGGGAACTGGGGGCCTGCTCTCTGCTTACTCCCACACATGGCCCAGTTTTCTCTCTGACTCAACCCGGGACTCGTTTTCTGGCTGGCTGGGAAGCTGGAGGTGGCATTCATGTGCATCCTCTCAGAGTTGAGAGATGAGCCAAGGGTTTGTGGGGATCCCGGTGCAGGACAGGTGGGAGGGAGAATCTGGAGGAGGAATCGGCATATGGTAGACTATTTGGCTCTGGAGTCAGGGACCATGAAACCCTGGTACTTCCTAGACTCTGCATATGGCTACGACAGCATGGGGAGCATCTGAGAAGAAGGCCCAACAATTGCCTCAAGAGGTTAAAGGCCACTTCCCCGCAACAGGGTCCCTCAACAGGCTCTGTGAGGCGCCTCTCTAAACTTCAGGCTCTTCCTAATATTTCTCAAAATGGGGATGAAGCTTTTCCTCATCTGCAATCTTCAGA